ATATATACAGCACTTGTATAGCGCAAATCCCCGCTCAACAGCAAGCTCTATGCGCTTCACAATCTATACTATTACCCCAGCAGACCTGAGAGCATTCTGAAACAACCTCAACTTCCTGGGAAGCATACAGTGCAAGCAGCCATTTATAGGCGCTCAAACACTAACAACTGACAAGATCTTTCGCTGTCTATGGCTGGGTACCCATTCCCACCTGGGTGAAATGAGGAGGATTCGCATGAGGTGCCTTTCCCAAAGACACAACGTCAGACCCGCGGCTCGAACCCCCGATCTCGCAACCTCACGATTACGAGTCCGGTAGCCTAACCACTAGACCACCGACAACCTCACGATTACGAATCCGGTAGCCTAACCACTAGACCACGGACAACCTCACGATTACGAGTCCGGTAGCCTAACCACTAGGTCCCTGGTTCTAATTCGGACAGCGATGGAAATTTTCTCTCTACCATTGTCTCCTTTCCTGCTCTCTAGCAATGTTCTGTCGTCTGCTTTCGTCTCCACTTTCTGCCCCCACCCCCCTCACCTCCTTTGTCCCCTCATCTGGGCTCCTGACTCTTTCTGCAGCCTTTCTACTGCTACTCCTTGGCTCTCCTTCTTACTGCTGTCTTTCAGCCACACCCCTGATCTTCTTGTAGGAAAGATCTACACCTAGCCTTCTCGGACAAGTGCGAAAAATCTCGGAGGTACCGTGTACAAGTTGCGCACGTTAAAGATCCCTTGGTGATCCAAAATCAATAAGAGTAGGCTTCGGCCGCCACCCGAGCAAAGTTCCAAAACCCCTTCCAACTGAAAATGTTTAGTGTGTCCTGCGCGCTCATATGACCTTAAAACACTTATCAATATAAATATAATATCTAAGGACCACTTTTCCAAACAAACGACCTATTCCAGCTTCCACCTCACCCTATTGTTGTTTATTCTATTTATTTATTTATTTATTTATTTATTTATTTATTTACAGGTCCGACCGTTCTCTAATGTGGTCGTCTTACACAGGTCCGACCGTTCTCCACTGCTATCGTTTTACACAGTGGTCGTCTTACACAGGTCCGACCGTTCTAGAACACGGTCGTCTTACACAGGTCCGATCGTTCTCTCATGTAAACGCCAGTGTGGCCACTTCCGGGTGTGATCCCGTTTATCGCGTGGCTAAGCAGGATAAGCTGCAGGAATGGCGCGGCCACGCCACGGGGTAGAGTCTTTCCCTGCCGACAAAACATTTATGGTTCTTCTGTTGTGGCGGGGAAGATTATGGGGTGGAACAG